CGGCCCGGCGCCCCAAGCCTCCGAGTGGGCACAATCCTGGAGCGGGGGGCAGCAGGGGGGGGGGGGGGGGGGGGGGGCACCTGTGCCGCCTTCACGGCCCGCCTATCCGGGGCCGTTCACCCACCGACCAGGGGGGCCACGGAGAGAATCTCCCAAGACCTGGTAGGGGATGCGCCCGGAACATGCTGACACGCAGACAGGCCGGGGGCGGGGCCACCTCGCGCCGTCAGCCTCTCTCGGGCTGTGCCCCGCCCCTGGCCAGCCGCCCGGGAGGCGATCGGGCCCGATGCGTGGAGACGACGTCCCCGTCCGGTTGGGATAGGGCAAGTTTGAATGTGTGAACGGACACTCCTGCTCGCAGGTGGACAAGCGTTGGGGGGGGGGGGCGGGGCCTTGAGTGTCACGAGCATCGCCCTCGAGAGAAGCCCCCTGCGAGAGAAAGAGAGAGCGAGGGGGCGAAGCCCTTGCCACGGGAGAGTCGAGGCTCGGCTCCTCAGCGCTGCCCCCCCCCCGCCGCCCCCCCCGCCCCCCCCCCCCCCCCCCCCCCCCCCCCCCCCCCCGCCGAAGAAAAGGGGAATCTGGCCAATCGACCATCCTTGTTCTCTGGCGCCGGGCGTCCCCCGTGCCCAGGTGCCTCGGGCCCCAGGTCCCCTCTGACCAGAGGAAGTGATCTTTATAATATCTTCCCCTACCCGGAGGCAGGTGGCGGCGGGAGGCAGGGCGGGCGAAGAGGGGCCGGGATTCCCCGGGGGGGTCCTGTTGTCGCGGGGGAGGGGGGGTGTCCTCGGGACCTGCGTGCCAGCGGACACACAAGAATGCATCTGGACCAGCCCCGGGGAAAACAGGGCAAATATGCTCCCCGGCCCTTTCCGGCGGGGCCGAGAGGCGCGATGGGCAGCCACACCGCCCCCCCCCCCTCCCCCCGGGCGGAAAAGGGCAGGGGGACAGACGGGTGGGCCGGAAACGCGCGGTCTCGTCTCGGCCAGCAGCCTCCCCAGCCGGATAAACACGCACATACATGCCCTGGCCCGGGGCAGCATGTTCTGGGGCGCTCGGATTTCCGGGCTGCTGTGGGGGGGG